AGATGGTAGCAAAAAGTATTTACAGTACTGCTATATAGTTAATTTAATATAATTTTTAAAGACGAGTACACTTGATATCAATTTCATATAATCTATCGGTCGTCAACTATTGTAGAATACTATCCAAAAACTACAAGACAATAACAAAGATATTAAATATCCAACCGGTATTCGACTACTTTTTCATTAAATATCATACATCAAGATACATTTATTTCAATTCGCAAAATTAACAATGTCTGTCGTTTAATTGAAAAAATGTTATCAATTGTTTATAATCAATACGCATCCTAAATGAATAATAATATTTATTTAGCACGTACACACTTCACGATTAAGGCATCTTACATTACAGGATGTCTATATTTATTACGATAAGCCAAATTTGAAACTGTATTCCAACATTAATAAATTATCCATCGCAAGAATTTAACTATTTGTTTAATTTTAAATTCAGCACTTTCACAGATTATGCATTGAAATCTACATTCAATCATAAAGTCAATACGCTGCAGTTGTAAACAATGCATACAATATATGAAATGACAATAAAACGAAATACAAATACAAAACACATTAAAGAATGGAAATATACAAGAGTTCATCAACACCCGCAGTAGTAAAAGAAATTATGCATTATCCAACAACTTATAGCGACACAGCGGAGAACAATTAATAAAATGTCTCTCTAAAGTACCGCGAGACACGATCGCAGCTACGTCACGCCCTTTGCTCTTATCGTCTCGGCACTCCCTTCCCCTTCCCCTTCCCATTCCCCTTCCGTCGCCCTCCGCGACGACCGCCGCCGCCGCCGCCGCCGCCGCCGCCGCCGCCGCCACCACCGCCACCAATGCGCTCCCTCCAGCCCCACCCTCCCCCCTGCTACGTCACGCCCTTCCTCTTACTGAGGCTCATTCAGCAATCGATAGAGAGCGGACGGTCAAAGCCGGCCAGCACACGTGCGGATTACATGCCGTAGTAGACGCAATGTGAACCTCGCCAAGGTGCAAGTTCAAGTGCACAGAGACGTCGTCTGTCGTTGTATTTTAGTTTGTTGGCACTCGCGTGCCAATTAAAAGATCTTATCGATACTCTCGACTATGTCGGGATTTTAATCTACAATAAAACTAGGATCGTTAACCGCGATTGTCGTCTATCTACATCCCCGTGATCGCGAGCTGCCGTATGAATTTAAACGAGAGAGCTTCGAGGCACTGCCGAGACGAAGTGCTGAGCAATTCCATCGCCCTTGGATTTTAACATTTATTCTGGACAAAATTACTTTTTTTTTTTTTTTTTATGTGTCAACAGTCTTAAATGCATTTACTGTCTTCTTTACATTGAATGACAATATGATCAGCTACGACGCGAATTTACTATGACCTAATCACTACGCTATATTAAATTATTTATGTACATTGTCATCTGCTAAAGATTATAGACTACGACAAAAAAAAAGTCTATCTTTGGAAAATTACTCGCTCAAACATTTACAACTACTTTATAGTTATTATTTTTTTCTTCTTCAGTTATGTGTTCTAGGTAGAGAGGTAGTTGGTATTACTGTCACTGCATCGTAGAGCATAATTTTTATTGTAAACAAATAATATATTACAAATCGTCTAATAGGTCACTTTTGTTCTACCGATAATACATCATTTATTAAATTAATATTTATACTACATAAATGCAATTGTACATTAACTCTTTTAGATTTTGAGTTATTTTTAAAAATTATATAGACAAAATAATTTTCCAAATTTACCGAAAGACAAATTGAACTGAATAATTATTTCCTTAGATTTATTTAGCTGAAAATTATTAATTTTTATTTAATGACTATATTCAAATATTCAAATTAAAGAAAAGAAAAAAATTCATAATAATTCAATAAATCAAATTTAATTGAATATAGAATAATATTATGAATGTTAATTCGGTACAAATATAAATACCTGGCATTAGCTAAATATTAAATAATTATTATAATGTAAAGTTTTATTGTAAACATTGGGAGCTAACTGAAGGTAAATTACAACAACGACAACAAACAAAAACAAACAAAAAAAAAAACGATATATTGTCTAATAATAAACCATAAGTTTAAAAATATTTTTAAATAGAACTTGATTGGATATGTCATTTGTGCAAGCTTTTTTGACGTTTTATTAAGTATATGTTTTGTAAGCTAAAAATATACATATTAAAAATCTCACTCCTAAATACGCGTTTAAACAATATTAATAATCGTAAAACGATTGAATCTTCCAAAAGTTAGGAAAACTGTATTTCAATATTTTACTAATTTTAATATTCATAATAATTAAAATAAAAGTATGATTCGTTGTACAATAATCATGCATTGTCCAATATATATATAGTATATTGTATGAGAAATTTTTTCATTAATTTCTATAAGCTTTCCATTAATTTAGATTGATAATAATTTTTGATAAATTATTATAAAATGCCAATGATTAAGAAAAATATGAAATAGCTTCACTCGCGCTCATTTACAATTCAATATATACGTCTATTTCATTATTTAAATAACATATTAGTATTGACGTAATGTTAAATCATATTATAATCAATGGTATTTAATGTTTATTAATGATTCAATGATAATAAGAACAATGCAAAAATAAATAAATGATGTAATTATATTTGTTTGTATAAGGCCACTGAAATTAATATGTGAATACGTAAAACTTATTTTGTTTGTTCAGGATATTTTAATATTTCATTTGTAATTAATATGCTTCGCATATTGAATTTAATTGTTCATTTGATTTATGAAGATTAATAAAGAAATAAAGAGTAAAAAAATCATTTTAAACTTTCAAATATATAAGTTTCTTAATTATATGAAAATAATATTAAATTACTTTATTAAGAAAGGTGCCATAATAATGTTATGTATTAACTATCGATCTACTCAAATATTTATAATAGTTGAACCTTACATAATCCAATTAAATTCAATTAGTACTATAACAATAATAATACAATTCAATTTTTATAAAGTTCAATTGTCATAAATCAATTAAATATATTATAATTATATTAATCAATCAGTACAAAGTTCGTCAAACAAAAAAAAAAAAAAAAAAACCAGTTGTTTTCCCAGTTCAAACATTCAATATCTTTTGACAATTATAATTGACAGTTAAATTTTTAATATAACAAATTATTATTAAACATAAATTCAGACATAAGAGATTCCACGATACAAAAGGATTGATCTATTTGAAATGGTCATTTTAGTAATTTTGTGACTTGGCGACCCTAGCGATACAACTAATCGTTTTATCGATATTTAATTTAATTGCAAATTTTTTGCCCCTACGACATTTATAATAAATAATATTATTTAAATATAATAAATATTATTCTCAAAGTATGATTAAACAGTGTTCAATCTATAAAAGATAATAAATTTAAACGTGAGTTTTTCATGTTCTCTCTAATGATCCAAAGTATATCGAAGACACAAAAAATACATATTTCCTTTCAATTTAAAAATTTAGCAAAAAATTGCTTCACTTATTCATTAATTATTAGAATATATTTCCGGCACTTCGTTAATAAAAGAATTATTAAGAATTTCAAACGTTAGTTTGCTGCACGCATTAAATAATTTAAAATCCATCACTGTTTTATTTTTTGTCAAAGAAAATGAAGAAAAAACATATTTCTGCGAGATTAAATTTAAACAAAAGAACCACTTTTAGTGAACAAAAATATAATAAATTTAATTCTCCCGACTGTCTTTCTTTATTAGTCATTTTCTAAGTATTATTTTGATCATTCAAAATAACTATAAAATAATAATAAATAACACAAAGTCGACTAATAATATAAGATTGTACATTGAAAGCTATGGGAAGCTTTTAATATTTGTTCATTCGGATCAACTTATTCGATACTTTTCAACCAATATTAATAAATAATATCGTAGCAAAGCAAACTTTGTATTGTTACAATTCTCGGAATAATAATTATTCATATCTCACTTAAAATGCTACCTGTCGCGGGCTTGTATTTAAACTAAAATTCCAAGTTACTGTGCTATCTAAGTATACTACAACTTATCTATAATAAAAGTGAAAAATACTTTTGCTTTGCAATGTTTCAACAACTTTCATGTAGGCGTAATTCCAAATTTTATGTTACAACTATTTATCGGCCCCGAAACGGGGAATTTGCCTTTATTACAATTCGTTAATTACAATTAAAGAAAACCTGAAAATCAACTTACAATCGAACACTATAACCAATAAAAGTAAATGAATCTTTTAGCCAATGAAATTTACATTAATTTATACTTTATCTTAAAAATAATAATTAATAGAGGTACTTTAAAGTAAGTGTATACAATATGCAAACACAAGATTGCAACACTTGCAAGATAGGATAGGTCTTTGATGTAACGATAGCAATATAAATCGTACCAAGACTATAATGTAATTGCATAAATCCATACCAAGTGACAATAGCAAAATTTTACTATATACGCATGCAACGACTGCGTAGTCTTGTTAATAATAGAATCGGTGAAACTGTAAGCGACGCGCCAAGCACTGATGTAAAGTTGGACGGCTTAACGGAATACTATCACATGTAGACATGTATAAACAGCGGCAATAAATAACGACGCGCATTAAATGAAATAATTTTAACAAGCTTTAAAAACGAAGGGCGGCATGCGAAAATAATATCAATTAGATGAACGTATTATCGGAAAACGTAAATTTGTTAATAGCGCTTTTAACCTGCATTCATAACAACAGTGAAATGTTCCCGTATCTCTCTCTCTCTCTCTCTCTCTCTCTCTCTCTCTCTCTGCTTTATTATGTAAATGCTGTTCTGTTTTTATTATTAGTTATTTATTTATTTATTTATTTATTTTTTTTTTTTTTTTTTTTTTTATTTATTTTTTTTTTTTGAAAGTATATTAGATATGCACATAGAGGGAAACTGGTTAAATGTGGTATTACCTGAGAACGTAGGCGTCAATCACGTCGTTTCGGCAAAAACTAATAATTTCACAGCGCACGATCTTCAAAAGGGACTCCCACTTTTGCCTGTAATGAAAAAATTGGATTTTTATATAACAATTCAGCTTAATGATAATTTACATACTTTCAATATAAGTCAACCTATAGTTTGCAATAATTTAAATTAATATTAATGATATAGAATTAAATAAGTATTCGTAATAAGGGGGAAAAACATCATTGATAGCATTTTTGGTAGATAGCTTTATTTTTTTGTATAATTTAGATCATTATATTCATTATATTATATCATAATTTTTATAATTTAGATCATTACGTCTATGATTTGAACTACGTAATGTCAATCTACACTCAATATAAAAATAAAATTATTAAATGAAAAATTTAACATTTTAAGATGTAAATCGATGAAATTTTCACATATTCACCTCTTAAAATTATACGTTTTAATACACCAATAAGGCGCTAATATATCACCGTAGTTTATAATAAATTCAATATCAATTAAGGACAATATGAGCCAAAATAAAATGTACGTAGATTATTGTATCGATTGGATTTCAATTAAATACATTCGAATTTATAATATATTCCTCCCACCGCATATTGATTTCGTATATTTAGAATGTATATTCAAGTACTTCACGTTAAAGACAACGTTCTAAATTTGATTAAAACTCACGCACACGCACACGCACACGCGCACGCGCACGCACACGCACACGCGCAAGCTCAAGCGCAAGCGCGCGCACACACACAAGCACAAGTAGTGGCACGATTTTGTCCAATGACACGCACACGCGCAAGCTCAAGCGCAAGCGTGCGCACACACACAAGCACAAGTAGTGGCACGATTTTGTCCAATGACATACATTTGTCATTGAGCATGTACATCCACTGCGATGCATATTTCGCAGATATTATTATTTTTCTAATTCTTCAGAATTTTTAGACATTGTAGTTTTACTTTATGATTTGAATTATAATTATTATATAAGCGGAAGAATGAAAATGTCGAGTGTAATTATTAATCCTATGTATGCGTAACCCCGGGATTTCTTAATTCTCGTCGTTTACAAATTTGAAAATATTTTCAACTTGCGGTCTTCGGACCTTGCAAGTCAAAAATAATCATAACTTAACCACCGCGACAACTTAATAAGAAATCGATACGATTGAGTTGCTCACAATTTTATCTAAATTCTCAGCTATACTTTAAATCTCTGCGACAATTTATTTCCTCAAGGCGCTCCGATAAATTGAATTTCAATAATGATTTCGATGTGAAATAGCGACGGCTAATAATAATACCAGAGAATTATGTTTCATTTCATGTTTGATATCAAAAAGCACAAGAGAGCCCCGAATATCGCATACAAATGACATATCGCAACAGGAATATTATGCACATGTATGTAGTTAACACGCATAATACACATGTCTAAAACATAAAGATAAAGAGCTTATGAGCCATATTGATTATAGAGCCATCGGTGTTGGATGTGGCATGGGTCATCGAGGGAAAAGCATTTCGATAACATTGCAAAATTCAGAATCTATAAGCATTTTTCTTAATAATTCCAACTCAACTATTCTATAAAACGAGTGCCGATTTCTCATTTTTTGAACTTATTTAGAAGCTGATGGATATTTCAACTAAAGTTATTTACTTCGACGATAAGTGTCGCGTATTTGCAATCATAAGCTATTATTTAATAACTCTTTTGCAATTTAATAAGGACATTTACAAAGAAAATATTAAAAATTGAAAATTATAAAATTATTATAGCGTTAGAAGATATTTTCTGAAAGTTGCACAATTGATAATTCAACACATTTGATAAAAAAAAAGGTAATTCGAATTTCTTTCAAGCACTGCAACAATTGTCTCGTATAGAACCATGAAAATTTCTTATTTCATATTGTACGATCAATTCCCACCCAAAATGAATAAAATATTATAACGTTTCATTTACTTTCCAACGAACATGCCTACGTACTTTCATCATTTATCATTTTCTTCATTTACAAGCATATAATTAAACACTGTCGATATTAATTATTTATTCGAGACTTATTTGTAAATTAAATAATGGCTTAATCGTAGATTTTTTTTTTTTTTTTTTTTTTTTTTTTTTTTTTTTCAAAAAGATGGGTGCTTGAAAATGTTTGTAAGTGAAATTGAAAATGATATTGAACAGATAATTTTTCATTACAACGACGATTACAAGAATATTACATCATTATTATACCAAGCTATTAATTTTATACGGCAATTAAAAAATTCTTATATATTATATAAATTGACCTTCTTAACCACGAGCTATCTACTAAATATTTAATAATATTTTAATATTATCCTTTTGTTTTATAAAATAATTTAAAGGGGCATCTCTCGTAATCAAAATAATATATACCCTTTCATTTACTTATAAATACATTTGATAAATAAATTTAATGTAAATGTAATATCAAGTATAAAGTAACGATGAATGTAAGATGAAATAATTTTGTAAATTCAATTCAATATTTACTACATTTACTATTTCTCTTAGCCTTCATATAGAAGAAATATTATTTTGTTAATATTTCATTTGATCGGTAAAATCGGTAAAATCGGATACGTTATAAATATTAAAGCCAATCGAGACTGTGCAATAGAAAATAATCTATCCTCGTGTAATATTTACTTCTAATTACATTTCAAAGAATATGAGCAAAAGTAACACAACATCAATCCATTATTGGTTCAATTTACTCGCGAGTATTCAATCCAATAATAATTTCATAAAAATGAAATACTTTCAATCTTATTGATATTAATTTCCATTTTATCAATTACCTTTCGTTAATTTAGTAATTTTTAAACTACTCAATGATTATAAATCAATGTTATGCGTTAACTTGTCAGAATAGAAATGATACATCTATTATATAATATTTATAAATTTATAATAAAACGTATCCGAATAATGTGAATCTGCTTTTAGATTAATACGCAACCACCCTCCGGGTTATGTAGAATTTTATCAGAATATTTCGGATGGCTTTCGTATGTATTGAAAATTTACAATAAATAATTTAAATATTTTCACACGCATATTAAATACAAACTTACATTACTTATTATTGCGAAGAAATATTATAGAATTTTGTAGTTAAAATTGTAAAATAAATTGTTGAAAATGACAAATGGGCACAATAAAATGACCAAAGTCATCTATTAACCAAGTGTTTTCTATTATGACATTTTAACATATAGTCAGGCGATCATACAGTATTGTCTTTAAATACAACCGATGTCTTGATTTGTATTTAATCTTCACTCGCGTCAAATGTGTATCTCATAAATACTTGTCAAAATAAAGGTATCGGGTTGCTTCATCATTATTATATGATATACCTGATTTTGGAGACGTCGTTATTGCATCGTGGGGTGGATGGGGGGGGGGGAGATGTGAGGAAAAAAAAAACCTTTTTATAATAACACATTAAGATATGTATACAATGTTTTCAATAAAAAATAATTATTTCCCCAATTAGCATTTGGGAATAATAAACAACCGATGAGACTTCTCAGCGCAAATGTCGAAATCGCTATCTTCGCTAATGTACACTAATGTGGCAGTCTTCTTGTCTGCTCCTGTTATCGAATGTAATGTATGTCTCATATAGACTTCGAATAAATGATACGAAGGTTCTGTAACCTATGTAAGGTAGTGTGTACTTGTACAGTGTAATTTCAATTGCGAAGATTAATATCGTTACTTTTCATAATATTTGTTCTCTATTGAATCGATGCTTTATCTATCTAAAACCATTATTAATATAGTAAAATGGATGACAATAACGAGTATTTATAAAATATGACATTGACCTTAAAAACAATTCTACATCATATGAAAGATATAATTTAAAATGCATAATTCGTAATACGTAGTTCATAAGAATAACCTATCTGATTATGTATTATTATAATATTACATAATAACTAACATTCAAATTTAATAAGTTTGCATTTCACATCTATCAAATACTTTTATTCGAATATAATAATTCAATTTGAATAGAATATATATATATATATATATATATATAGGACAAGTCAATTTGGTTAATTAAACAACGATAATCTAATAAGGCATATGAAATTCGAATGAAATTGAATAATTAGAAACCCGAAAAGAAACTTGGTAGTTGAAGTTCAATACGATCATACGTACAAATTTTTTTTATCAACTTATCGATTTAATATATTCCCTTCAAATGATACATTAACTAATGTTATGCATAGAATATAAATTCAATAACTAAATCATATCATTGCTTAATTCAATCAAATTTTTATTGTTATTTTCAAAACAACGAGCATTATACATTAAACAACATAGACGATTTTTTTTTATTATACAAATTTATATATATATATATATATATATATATATATATATATATATATATGAAATTAATTCAATATATAATTTTAAATTATAACCATAAAGAAAATTATATATATATATAAAGTGTATAAACTATTTTATATATCATGTTGAAACTACGCATTAAATTCTAAATGTTTCTATGTGATAAGTACATACAAAATGTTTATATATTTATGTTTTGTTATTATATATAACGAGTATATATGTTGTATATTATGAATAATTAAAAAATGTCTAAATATTGCATTTCAATAAATAGTTTATCAATAAATACACTAGCTGATAGAATAAGCGTGAATTATCTTGAGTTTTTATGTTAATTAAAAATATGACATTTTAAAAATCATAGTAAATATAATGCTCGTTGTGCTTGAAACTGTCGAGAATAAAATATCATGAAAATTTGAATTTTATAGATTTAATTAACTAATACGCTAATAATAATTCTTTATATGGGCCATTATTTATTTCTAATTTATTCTAATGTCGTAAGAAAAAATTCAAATGTGTTGAATTTCTAGCGTGCGCACGCGCGAACACTAAAACACTGTTTTCTTTTCTTATTTTTTTAATTTAATTTAATTCGCAAACATAAATGCATGCGCGTGTGTGTATATACATATA